ACCACGTGCTAGGTCACGCACCATTACCACCATATGCTTAACCGTCAATTAAGCACCACATGGCTCTTGTGACGTCACTCCCCAGCGGTCTTAGTTTCCCACTACTAACAACATTGCAAGTCTAGTGCTAGTTAGACTAGTAAAATTGTTGGTTAACCTAGAAGTAATTGTAATATAATTTCTATCAATGAATTCTTATGTAAAAATGGCTGAAAAAAACGATGGTGAAAAGTCTACCACTCTACGGAGGTGCGTTGGCCTGGTATGAAAGGTTTTTCAAAATGGCTACCGTAAATATTTATGTTTTTAGCCAATAAGTCCTAAACTATTACAGGTAGCTTAAATAAGTAAATGAGTAAATTTTAAAGAATTACATTGCGCAACTTTTGGTACATAATAAGTTACAAGTCCTTACATTCTTAAAAGAAAATAATGTAGTCAAACAATTTTAATAGTTCATTGTTATTCAGAGAAATTTTGAGTTATGGATTTTAAGTTGGCAATAATGATTGTTTTGTACCAGCTGAGAGTTCTTATTGTTGTTGTTAATATTTCTACATGTTTCTAGTTTACTTTCATGTTCAGTAGTGATGTTTTTAATTAAATTTTAGTCTTTTAGTGAAATTAGTGTTGCGATGGTGATGTCAATCCCCCTTAGTATGACAACTGAAAATAGAAAAATGAATATCGAAACATGTTTTATTTGTGAACAAATTATACACGACAGTTGTGAGGTATTATCTCTCACTGAAAAAGCAATTGAAGCAATACACCGAACCAGTAAGGGAAGGAAAATAACTGAATTCCATGTAATTTTTGGTAAAAAGTTCATAAAAAATGTAGAGCGCAGTTTATTGACTTAAAGTCTTCATTCAGAAAGCGTGAGGATGGTACCCGTTTGACACGTTTTAGTGAAACCTATTTTGATTTCAAAAGTAATTGTTTTTTGTGCCCAGCTGAATTAAGCCTAACATATAAACAAAGGAATAAAACGAACGGTTTGAAGCTCGGACGCTAAACTTGAGAACATCAGTGCTAGAAAAGTGCAACGAATGTAAAGATGAATGGGCTGTCAAAGTCAAAATACGGCTTCTAAATGTGTATGATTTGCCTGCTATGAAAGCATGTTATCACAAACAATGTTTACTAAAATTTCGAAATGGAAAATCTATACCACAACAATTAGTGACATAAGCTCTGCCAGGTCGCCCATTCTGCTGCTGCACAAGAGGTACAAGTATGCCTGATCACAATCCACATCTCCTGAGTGTTTTATTCAGTATTCTGCTGACAACATAGGCCACAATATAATTAGACTAGATGGTAATGGAACTTTCCATGGCATGGGTATTATAGCTAGCGTAGTTCCAGCAGGGGCATTTTCTGAGGTTATCAAGAAACGTAATGTTTCTTATGAAGAGAGCTTAAGGACGTGGAAGATTTCCATTAGGCTACAGTGTATCCTTCTCAGGCTTTTATGGCCAATGGGGTGGAGCCCCAAGACATCGGATTTTCGAAACATGATTTGTCATTTTTCTGTTGTCCAAATTACTACCTACTCTTATGAAAAGTTTCGGCCCAAACGGTTCTCGAGTTTTGCGTTCTTACTGAAAATATATCGTTGCCACAAAATCTCGTTAGTGATAAGTATTATACTACTAGCAGAGTACCCGTCCTTCGTGGGGGTTGGCAAATAAGTACATAAAATGCTTATTGCAGTTATACTCAATCTTTGCGTTTGCAATGTGAGAAGACACGGTTTGAGAAAATTTGCTCCCTCAAATTTACGGTATGCAATAGTATTACATATCTACCATAGTCACAATGCTCTACCACTTCACCTACACAATAGAGAAAAATAGATTATTAAGCATTCGCAAAATATCGCAAATTATTCATGAAATTAAAAACATAAACATAACTGTAAACAATCCTACTTTTACAGTTCTCATTTGTATCACAGGTTTTTGTTGCTGCTTAGTTCAAATTAGCTTTTTTCATAAAATGCACTGAAATTGAATTAAAAACATCACTACTGAACATGAAAGTAAACTAGAAATATGTAGAAATATTAACAACAACAATAAGAACTCTCAGCTGGTACAAAACAATCATTGTTGCCAACTTAAAATCCATAACTCAACATTTCTCTGAATAACAATAAACTATTAAAATTGTTTGACTACATTATTTTCTTTTAAGAATGTAAGGACTTGTAACTTATTATATACCAAAAGTTGTGCAATTTAATTCTTTAAAATGTACTCATTTACTTATTTAAGCTACCTGTAATAGTTTAGGACTTATTGGCTAAAAATATAAATATTTACGGTAGCCATTTTGAAAAACCTTTCATACAAGGCCAACACACCTCCGTAGAGTGGTAGACTTTTCACCATCGTTTTTTCAGCCATTTTTACATAAGAATCCATTTACAGAAATTATATTACAATTACTTCTAGGTACAGGTAATTTTTAAGCTATTTTTACTAGTCTAAGTGGTAAATTTCAAAAGTTTTCAAGTAGTAATATGAAATGTACTTGTTGTGGGAGAACAAATCATTACAGTAGCAATTGTAGATATTTAAACTTTTCTTGTAGATTTTGTAAGCAAAAAGGACATTTGCTTGCTGTGTGTCCTAAAAAAGGTAAAGATACTTCTTATAGGCATAACAAAATTGATCAAAACCTAAACAATGGTGATTCTTCTAATGATGAAGGCAGTTGCAATGATGTGCCCGTAAACAGCTCCAGTGAGGTAGGAGTACTTCATGAAGATAATAGTGTATTCGACACGAGTTTGTATCATGTTGAGAGTGATAGTAATTTTAAGCCTAGGCCTAGTCCTAGTTCGAAGCATGAACCTCCAATCACACTCAAGGTTGAAATTGATTCAAAGATGGTAAATATGGAAATAGATACTGGAAGCCCTATTTCAGCAATATCTACAGTTGTCTACAATGACTTATTTTCTTATGCTAAACTTTTTGAAAATGATTTAAACTTAAAGTCTTATGATGGATCAAAACTTGCACCTTTAGGTTACATTAAGGTAAATGTTATGCATGATTCTAAAAGTAAAACCCTTGATCTCTATGTGTTTGATAATGGTGGTTCACCGTTAATCGGTAGAAATTGGCTGAAGGAACTTGATGTAATGACATTGAATTTGAATCATGCTGTAAATAATGATGATGTACGTATGATTTACAATGAGTTTCCAAGGGTATTTACCCAAAATCTGGGAACCTTTACTAGAAAAACTGTCAGTTTGGGGGTAAAACCAGGTACAGTACCTATTTATTGTAAGCCTAGGCCTGTGCCTTTTGCTCTCCAAGAGACGGTAAATAGTGAAATTGATAACTTAATCAATCAAGGTATTTTAGAGGCAGTTGATTTTAGTGACTGGGGTACTCCTATTGTTTGTATTCCCAAAAATGATGGTAGTGTGAGAATCTGTGGAGATTTTTCTGTCACTTTAAATCCTAACCTAATTGTCGAGCGGTACCCACTGCCTAAAATGGAGAATCTCTAGCAAAGCTATCTGGTAGTTCTTTTTATAGTAAAATTGATTTAAAGATGGCCTACTGCCAGTTGATGTTGGACGAAGAGTCAAAAAAGCTTACCACTATTTCAACTAACAAAGGTTTGTTTGTGTATTCACGCATTCCATATGGGATCACTAGTGGCATTCTATATTTCAAAAGGTAATTGATCAAACTCTAGCCGGGTTATACTGTGTTGTTAGTTTTCAAGATGATATTTTGATTTTTGGTGGTAATTGTAAACAAGATCACCTGAAATGTGTAAGAAATGTTCTTAAGAGATTGAGTGAAGCTGGTTTTACAGTTAAGAGGGAAAAATGTGATTTTTTTAAGAGTAGTATTGATTATTTAGGATTTCACATTGATAAGTTTGGTACTCACACTGATCCAAAGAAATTAGAAGCAGTTTTAAATGCCCCTGCACCTTCAAATGTTAGTGAATTAAAGAGTTTTTTGGGAATGATCAATTTTTATGGTCGCTTTTTGAGTAATTTGGCTAGTGTTATGCACCCAATGTATAAGCTTTTGTCAAAAGATGTAAAATGGTGTTGGCCAAGAGAGTGCAATGATGCATTCGAGTCAGTCAAGCGGTTATTGACCCAAGCCCCATGTTTGGCACATTATGATTCAAGTTTGCCTTTACGGTTAGCTTGTGATGCGTCAAGCTATGGTCTTGGGTGTGTTCTCTCAAGTGTTTTTCCTGACGGTTCAGAGCGACCGATAGCATACGCTTCTCGTGTGCTTTCCAAGAGTGAGATAGGTTATTCCCAGATCCAGAAAGAGTCTTTGGCAATCGTCTTTGGCGTGAAAAAGTTTTATCAGTATCTTTATTCACGTCATTTCACTTTGTTGACTGATCACCAGCCTCTATTTACCATTTTTGGTAAAAAGAAAGGCATCCCTCAGATGGCAGAAAATAGGCTGCAAAGATGGGCTAATTTTTTGAGTGCTTTTGATTTTGATATTGAATATGTAAAATCATCTAAACATTGTAATGCTGATTTTTTGTCTAAGTTGCCAGTCAAGTGTTCTAACGATGATGAAATTGTTGATGATTTCGATTTTTTTAAGTTTATACAAACTACCTGTTTCCCTATATCCTCTAAAGTTGTTAGTAAGGAAACAGCAAGGGATCCTGTGTTAAGTGAAGTGTTGGATTATACACTTCATGGGTGGCCAAATGATTCAGGTATGTCTAGTGATTTAAGACCTTTCTTTTTGAAAAGATCAGAGTTGAACGTAGAAAACAATTGTGTGCTTTGGGGTTACCGTGTGGTAATACCTACCAGTCTGAGAAAAAGTTTGTTAAGTGAATTGCATTGTACTCATCTAGGAATGGTTAAAATGAAGTCTGTTGCCAGGTCAACCTTTTGGTGGCCTAAGTTAGATGAGTGTATTGAAGAAATCGCAAACTCGTGCGAGTTATGCTTAGATCAAAGAAAGGACCCCCCAAAAATGACGGTGTGTAACTGGAACGTTCCTCATGGTCCATGGGAGCGTATCCACATGGATTTCTTTGGACCTATTAATAATCAGATGTATTTGATAGTGATTGACGCTTATTCCAAATTTATTGAAGTCGTTCCCATGCGCTCAATCACTGCTGTTTCTGTCATCTATCAGTTGAGACAGATTTTTGCACGTTACGGTTTACCGCACTCTGCTGTAACAGATAACGGTCCTACGTGGACTTCTCACGAGTTTGCCTCTTTTCTTAAACTGAATGGAGTTAATCATTGTCTTACAGCACCGTTCCACCCTGCGACAAATGGAGCAGTGGAACGTGCAGTCCAAACTGTGAAGAAAAGTGTAAAGATTGCTTTAAAGCAAGGTAATGATGTTAACTTGGCTATTTTAAGATTTTTGTTTGACTATAGAAACTCAACCCATTGTTCAACATGTAAGTCACCAGCAGAACTTATGTTCGGTAGGAAGTTGAGGACCAGGTTTGATTTGTTGCGACCTGATAGATTTGTTCAAACAAACTCATCAGGGTTTTCTGAAAATGTTAAAGGTAGAAATATTTTGTTTGTTGAAAATCAAGTTGTGTTGGTAAAAGACTACCGTACTTCTCAGTCCTCAAATTGGGTAAAGGCAAAAATTGTCAAGTGTCTTAGTCCTGTTTCTTATTTAGTTAAGTTATGTAATTCTGATGTAGTCTGGAAACGACATAGCAATCAAATGTTGCCACTTAAAAACCAAGTGTCAAATGATGTTGTGACCTCAAGGTCAAAGGAGTCTGTTAGGCCCGAGGCTTTGTTTCCAAGTGAAGATGTGAGTAGACCTGTTCATAGGCGAAGTCTGATGCTAAGCCCTTCCTCGCCTAAACCAAACAATCCTGTTTGCGCCAGTCCAAAAAGTCCTGTGTCAAATCGTGCTGTCAGTCCTAACCAATCTGCCACTTCCGCAGTCCATGATCCTATTTCCAGCGATAGTAGTCCTATAAGTTCTACTCCCAAAAGGCGATATCCCATGAGAACAAGAGTGCCTAAGAAAGTTTTTGATTTGTAAACCAACCCAAATTATCACCTAACTTATATTTTGTTAATGCAATGATATCTCATTTCTTTTGATGACATTTTAACTAGGCCTATTTATTTTTATGTTAGCTTTAAGTTTCTGTGTTTAGGCCTATGCTGTTATTTTAATTTACTTTCCGTTTAAGGTACAATTTCTTAGTTTGTTGAATTAAAGGGTTGTAAGAAATGTAAATTTTAATTTGTAAAACAAATTTTCACAAAAAAAAGTGTAAAATGTTTTTAAAATGTTGAGGCTTTTTAAAATTAGGCTAGGTTAGTTCTAAGGACAACTTTTATTCTCTGTACAGTTTAAATTTAAGTAAAATTGTTCTTTTTATGAAATTTTAAAGTTTGTCATTATTTTTGTTTTAGAGGGAGGAATTATTTGTTCTGAAAAAGTAAAATGTTTTTCTTTTTAGAAGAGAGTAATGTTATATATACAAATTTGTATTGTGTCTTAGGTTATTGTACTCTATGTCATGAATAGCCTACACTACTTGTCCTAGCATAGAGAACAGGAATAAAGTCTCTTTCATGTTAGCCTCCAATGACTGAGCATCTCATTTCAAAGCTCCCATTTCCCAATGTATAATTATAATAGTTATGGCAAGATACATAACAATTCTAATACGAGCAATGTTTGCTTGTATGTATGTATGCTAGCTTGCTTGCAGAAAGATCTCAAAAAACGGCTCGAACGGTTTTCTTCAAATGTTGTAAATAGTTTATTCCTGGCCTAAAAACGAGTTTACTGCAGTTAGAACTGCCAACAAAAATCTAATTACGTGGAAAGATGAAACTGAAAGTCACATTTTTTTTAACATTAGTCTTATGGGTTGCTAAGTAACCATCTTGGCTGAATTAAATAACAAGAAAAAAGTAAACAAAAGACTTGCAAGTTGTCTGTCAGTATACTAGCAATTAAAAATACAGTACAATAGGAAAAACATCAGTTGTTACTATTGAGCAAAGATTATACTGAAGATTACTCGATACATTGTAGTCAAGGGTAGAAGTGTGAAGTGTAGGATATGTTTATGGGGAAACGGACAGAGTAGCGCAAGTCGTAAAACTGTCAACCCCTTGGCCGGAGAATTCGTCGGGGGTAGGACCAAGGAGCGCAGAGGTGCTTGCGCTCCTTGGTCCGACCCGGGCAAGAAACTAATCCCCTACTTACGAGGGTTGAACAAGACAATGCTTGCGAGTAAATCCCATTTATTAGTCGCGCCTCACTGACTACACCATTGATTCAGGCATATTTTTCTAGTGCAACTTATTTATTACCAAACTACTAATGTTGTATCAACAAATTAACAAGCCGTACACTTTCACATTCGAATTCAAATTGCAATGTAAAAGCTGATCCTTCAGTTGAATGTTGAACCACATTTAGATTTTGTTTATAAAACAGTTAATAAAAATGTATGATAAATAGGCTACTTTTTGATAGTTGCGACTTGGATAAGGTAGGTGACTTTAGTCTTCATGGCGTGGATCTAAAATAAATTAATTGAATTTATTGTAAATTAGTAAGTTTATTCACTTTTAATAGCTGCTTTTAACAGAGATTATCTTTGAAAAGAGAGGGGTATTGAATAGTTAGTTTTACCTTCGAAAATGTGGTTAACCCTATTAAAATGTGCAAATTTGCAATGGGTCCCCTCGTTATTAAATATACGATTTTTTATGCAGGAATGGTTTGTAAAATCCTCAGTTAATATAAATCCATTAATACAAGTAATTGCTTTCAACATGTACACACCATTAATAGAAAACAAACCTGAATTTTACATCTTAGTTTTATGGGTAATTTCTTTATGATATATAGAACGCTTCCTGGAAAGTCTACTAGATTAGGTGTAAAGTTGAAGTAGACAGGAAAGTCACAGGAAAGACTTATAAGAAAACTTGTCCAATATCATACCAAAACGTGCAAAGGTAGAAAACGTGTGGAAAAAATCTAAACGAACTAGCTCTTTTCAATTGTACCAGAAGTTATGCATTTTACTCGTCCAACATATTTTTATTTGTAAGGTTATGAGATAGCTCTTTATCAATAGAAGAATTAGAATTAGTTTCAAGAATGGTATGCGTTGTTCCTAAATAGTACGAACCGGTAGTATTGAGCCATTGAATATCATAACACCTGATAGAAAATGTCAGGTGTTTCCGCAGGACGTAGGGTGAATCACGGGTAGAGAGAGGATAAGGACAAATTAAGAAGAATCATGCACGTTATAAGCAATAGTCGTCATGCCTTCAAAGCTATTTTAAAATTATACAAACTATACCTGCAAAACAAAATACTCTAAGCCTACATTATTTGATATTTCTCTTAAGTGGTGTATTCGTGAGGCGCGACTTATGGGATTTACTCGCAGGGTCGACCCAGCCATTGTCTCTTTTAATCCGTATAAGTAGGGGATTAGTTCCTTGCACGGGTCGGACCAAGGAGCGCAAGGTACCTCTGCGCTCCTCGGTCCTACCCCTACGGTTTTTATTTATGACCTCCCATTAGAGGAGGTATTGTGCGCTCCTCGGTCCGCGAATCATGTTTATGACGATTAGATTACGGTATTTGCAATCCTTAAATGCTCTGAGAAGGGATGGAAACATATCCATGACACAGGAAATGGTGAAAGAATTAGTAAAGGCTAGCAGTAGACTACGGAGAGTGGGGAATGGATTCATGTATCTGCAATACTAAGACTGCTTTCAGAGTAAACTAATGATTTTCCCCGACCAAAGCTCGGTCCTCAGGTACTCTAGATTATACTTGCCTTATTTAACTCTGTTTAAAAACTAATATACTCTGTTTAAAAACTAATATACATAGGCATAAGCCTTAATTTTTGCATTGTACATACTTTAGTGTGGGCCCACATTAGATGATGATTTATAAAATGTCAAGAGATTAATTTGATCTTATAATAGCCAACACCTAAGTTAACCAACATTTGCTTGTAAATATTGTTTATAGAAAAAGTTGAATATACTAATAACAATTTGATTATAATTTGTCTTCTTACTGAGATCTTCTTGCTAAATAAAAAAGCGTAATCGTTTCCAGTCGGAAAGAGTCCTGAGTCTCCAGAAAATTGTAACTTAAATTTTCCGGTTCTAGTTTCGGAGAGAGTCGAAGTTCTTGCTGTGACTAATACTTAAAAGGAAAGAAGTTGAGAAGATTTTCTTACTGCTGATAGCCTTTTTCAAATTCAGCGTGAAAAATACAGCGTATTTCCTATAGTTTAGGCCGTTTAGGGGAACCAATCAAATTGTTAAAAACTATTCTATCTCATTATTTCAGTACACTATGATATTATTATTTTAATAGAAGTTATATAGATGTCAAGAAAAAATAGACCGCAAATTTTTTTGGGATGGATTTACATTGACCAAAGAATACTCTCAGAGTATAGTGTAGTGATAAAGTTTCCCGAGCAAAGTTCGGTCCCTAGGTACTCATATTTAATTCGAATAACACATTGATACAACATGGGTTGCTATGCAGTGTTCTGGAGTCTAGACGGAAGTGACTTCATGAGCCTCTAAGCTTGGATACATTGAGTACTAAAACAAATTACAAGAAATACTAATATGATATCAAATAAATACTTATATGATACCAAGCAGTTATTATTTATTACAAAAATTTAATACGGGTATACAAAGACAAAAACATTTTGCTAAAAATAATGCAGGTTTCACAATTGAAGGAAAGTATATTATAAAAATAGCAACTAAGTTGCCAGTAGCAAACGATCATTCTGTCAATCGTACAAGCTGCCATTCTACTGAGCCAATACGACTACAGAAACAGTCCTTGAATGCATCCCTGACATCATAAGCGAAATTCGCAGAATGAGTTCCTGATCTCGGTATTGTCAATGGTAATAAACTCTCAGTTGGAAGCGACAGATCTTCTGCTTCTTCGTTTGGGCAGAATATATTTTCATGTCTCATTGAGGTTGTGCAAGATGCAGGCAGATAGCACCATTATCAACAGTTTCAGATAAAATCGCTATTGGTGTAAAAAAAATACACGAAAATACTGGCATAGCATCCCAAAGGCATTTTCTGAAACACGACGGGCTCTGCTATGGTGGTAGTTGTAGTTAGCTTTTGTTTCGTCCACTTAACATTGATCCTTTGGATATAGGCGCATAAATGTTGGCGTAAGTTTAAATGCATGGTCACCAAGTATCACATGAGGGAGTTGTTTATTTGTTCCAGGCAGAGGTGTAGAACCAGAAAACGGAAATGTCCCATCAGCGATGGACCTTCCAAAAGTAGATTTGAGGATAATACCCGCATCACCCTCTTTCCCGTTGCTGCCAACATCTACTGTCAAAAATTGGTATTTGTTGTCACCAAAACGAACAACACAATATAGAACTAATCTTTGTAGTTGAAAAACGTGGAGCCAGAATTTGCAGGACACTTTATTCTGATGTGTTTACAATCAACGGCACCAACGCAATTGGGGTGATTCCATCTGTTTCGGAATCCACTGGAGTCATTCATCAATATTTCTTACTAGCTGTTTGCCCGTTCTACGTACGGGAATATTGTATTAAGTTGAAACCTTATATTCAGAACAGCAGTTGGTTTGCGTATTTAGTGTGCATTTTTCCAGATATGCTGGCAAAACTATTACTGTATAGAAATACAAATAAACCTTCGCAAATACAATATCTGACAGTTTCAAAGCCAAAACGAATGCTTCGCAATAAAACTCGATCGTGTTAGTCCATATTTTATATCTAATGATGAAAGGAATTGCTTTATGGATCTATGAGGCATAGCCCTAAGGTAGGCCTGTAATTGAAAGTTACTTTTCACACTGGTTAAAAGTACTTAAAATACTATCTCAACCTCACTACTGCACACTTTATTCGGGTTGAAATTTTCATTAACAAAGGTGCTCTTGTCTTTCCCACAAAACACTGAGAAATAAGGAGATTAATGCGTTACCAACAGACATACACACAC